TGCAGCGTCATGTGCGGGTCAACCATGTGGGCTGTCACAGAGTGTTTTTACTGTAAAACGTAGAAAGACAAATATGGTGGAGCAGGAGCTGAACTTTTTCTCCGTTCTTGTGGTTTAAACACTTAATAATTCTCCGCCCGGACATCATCGGACCGGCCTACATCCCAAAACCAAAGTGGGTAAGGTCGGATTCAGGACCCACGTCTCTGCTAGTTTCTTCTCAGATCCCGACTATAGACTGAGAGGACTCTGCTTCTCATGCATCTGTGCATTTTCCTGGATTACCAGAACATTCCTTTGGCTTCATAGAGGTCATCGTGCAACAGGAAGAGGTCTGCGGAAAAACCGCCATGGTCTTCAGAAGTGAATCACTCCTGCATGTAACTGCAGCAGACCATGGACCACGATTAGAGCATCAGACAGACGAGAAGGAGGGGAGCATGAAACAAGATTAGAGCTTCAGACAGACCAGGAGGAGAGCACGACACACGATTAGAGCATCAGACAGACGAGAAGGAGGAGAGCATGAAACACGATTAGAGCATCAGACAGACGAGAAGGAGGAGAGCATGAAACAAGATTAGAGCTTCAGACAGACCAGGAGGAGAGCACGAAACACGATTAGAGCTTCAGACAGACCAGGAGGAGAGTACGAAACACGATTAGAGCTTCAGACAGACCAGGAGGAGAGCACGAAACACGATTAGAGCTTCAGACAGACCAGGAGGAGAGCACGAAACACGATTAGAGCTTCAGACAGACCAGGAGGAGAGCACGAAACACGATTAGAGCTTCAGACAGACCAGGAGGAGAGTACGAAACACGATTAGAGCATCAGACAGACCAGGAGGAGAGCACGAAACACGATTAGAGCTTCAGACAGACCAGGAGGAGAGCACGAAACACGATTAGAGCTTCAGACAGACCAGGAGGAGAGCACGAAACACGATTATAGAGCTTCAGACAGACCAGGAGGAGAGCATGAAACAAGATTAGAGCTTCAGACAGACCAGGAGGAGAGCATGAAACAAGATTAGAGCTTCAGACAGACAAGAAGGAGGGGAGCATGAAACAAGATTAGGGCATCAGACAGACGAGAAGGAGGAGAGCATGAAACACGATTAGAGCATCAGACAGACGAGAAGGAGGAGAGCATGAAACAAGATTAGAGCTTCAGACAGACCAGGAGGAGAGCACGAAACACGATTAGAGCTTCAGACAGACCAGGAGGAGAGCACGAAACACGATTAGAGCATCAGACAGACCAGGAGGAGAGCACGAAACACGATTAGAGCTTCAGACAGACCAGGAGGAGAGCACGAAACACGATTAGAGCATCAGACAGACCAGGAGGAGAGCACGAAACACGATTATAGAGCTTCAGACAGACCAGGAGGAGCGCATGAAACAAGATTAGAGCTTCAGACAGACCAGGAGGAGAACATGAACCAAGATTAGAGCATCAGAGAGACGAGAAGGAGGAGAGCATTAACCAGGATTAGAGCATCAGACAGACCAGGAGGAGAGAATGAACCATAATTAGAGCTTCAGACAAATGATGAATGCATGAAGCACTCTCATCCCTGAGAGCAGAGTGCAGGTAGTGCTGTCAACTACCATAACTTGAATCAGATGGTTCTTCTGACGGTGTGTATGTGTGTGTGTGTGTGTGTGTGTGTGTGTGTGTGTGAGGGATGACTCTGCTCTGAGACACACAGACCTGCTGATGTTTGACTCTACTGACATCTAGAGGCTAAACACAGAACTACAATATTAAGGAAGGGAGGAGACACCAGAGGGAAATAATTTAAAGGGCGGAGTATCCTTTAGAGGACTTAGGATATAGGATTTGACCCTTAAAAAACAATCAATCAATTATTTTTTTTCATGTTTTTTCTGAATCTGCAGATTTTCTTTTGTTGCCAAATTGTCTTGGTGCTGCTGCATTTTCAGTGAACACCAGACCACAATGCAATGACAGACCAGGATGTAATAAAGCCACTACAGAGGCTTTATTCTGTGTAAATGGCTTAACTCTTTGCTGTTGTAACTGCTGTTGCTGGTTCCACCGACTCTCACACTGTGTCTGAGTGTAGCACATTCCTGAAGTGGATCTCAGGGATTCTCTCAGTGCTGACTGATTCATTAAAACAGATTAGAAGTGTTATGCAGAGAGGTAGTGCAAAAACTATTAAACTATCACTTCATTGGATTGGGCATTTCATATGCAAATAGAAGAAGTTTTTTGTTTTGCATAAATCATTTTAAAGAGAAGAGGTGGCATGTCATTTTAGGAACGATTTTGTGAAATTGAACATGTGCATACTTTTGCTAAAGTGCAAAGGACATTTCCTTGTTGCTTGGCTCTCACCTTTTCTCTCTGTACAGCCTTCATCTTCTCCAGCTCCTCTTCCTCTTCTTGTCTCCTCTTCTTGTCACACTCCGCCTTCATTAGCTTCAAACATCAAACATTTCAATCTTTCTTTTCTTTGATACAACAGAAAGAAAATACTCTGAAACATCTTTTTCTGCATCTCAAACATCGTCAATTTGCATACACAGCATGCCTGACTTATACAGACATAGGGACGAATGAAGACGTCACATTCATACAAACATATTTAAAGGTTTTTATCAACCGAGTGCATGATCATTATGTGTGGATGCTCGTTTAAATGTAAGATAAAATCACCTTCTTCCGCAATTTGGAGGAACGTAAGTCTGCAGATTGCTTCTCTCTGGCTTCAGCCAACGTCACATGACCACCTTGATCAATCAAACAGCAGGTTACTTTTCATCATGAAGTATCCTGTAATACAAATATTGAAGATTGTGATATTCATACATACCCAGTTTTTCTGGATTTGTGTGCACAGATGACGGTCTGTTTGCTTCTTTCCATCTCTTAAGGTCCTCTTCTTCTTTTTGGCTTACTGCAGAAGAAGAACAATCCACTTCATAACATGAGAAACACATAAGAACATTTATAAAGATGGACTAATAATGATAGGAGAGTTGAAAGAAGCAGCCTACTCAATATTGTTTTCCTTCGTTGGGATTCATTTGGAGGTATCACAGTGAACACCCCGGTGCTGAGACAGAGATTGACACAGGTGGTTAGTGACAACTTTCAAAGTAAACCTCTAAGTTTTATAGCAAATAAAAAAAGTTGACTGTCCTGATGAAAAACAAAGTTTGAAGTGTGAAAAGAAGTCGAAACTGAAAGTCAGAGGCACTCTGATGTCGTATAGGGATGTGTTTACATCCACCTTTACACACTTCAGAATTTGTTTGTCATCAGGACAGTCAACGATTTTACTTCTGTCCCCTGTTCCTGAAGAGCACCTGGTTCCTCTACATCATTTTTTTGACCCAGTGCAGCACTCACTTCTACCTATTTTCCCTTTAAGTTTTACGTTTAAACGCTTCTTGTTTGTTTAGCCTTATATCACATAAGCAGTTGGGATTTCCGGGAAACAGTGAAGGCACCATTACTTTCTCTACTCCCAAGAAACGAAACTGAAAGAGGTGATTATCAATTCTCCACTAAATGAACAGAAACATGTTATTTTAAATATTATTCATTCTTATATTAGCCTTAAGAGTCAATTCTGTAGGATTTTTAGCTTTTTGTGTAATTACAAAGTAAATACAGTTCCTAACTTTTGACTCAATACTGAGTCAGACTCATAGACTGTAAATATTGGTCAGACTTGGTCAGAATATTGGTCAGACTTCACTGAATCCCTTTAATAACTCCCACCGTCACTTACTGTTGAGGCTCTCTGTTTGTGGGTTGTTGCTGTCCTCGCTCAGGTGTAACAGGTGCACCATCACCAGGCTCACCTGGCGCGCCGACCTGTAGACCCGGAGTGTTGTGTCTGCCGGAGTTCAGCTGGTTTCCTCTGGAGTCTCTCTGGTTGTGATAGTTGTCCATCTTACGGCAGGAGAATCTCTAATAATGTCTAAAAGTCTCCAACAGGTAGAACACACGTGGGCCAGCTCCCTTCAGCTCCTATCAGCTGTACTGTGTGTTTACTCTGCTTTCACTAACCACCACATACACACAGCACGGGGGGGGGGGGGGGAGGAGTTTAAGGCAACAGCGACCTCTGCTGGAGGAACAAGTAGGCTACATCTCGTTTTTATTTTAAAGGTGCATTCTGTAATTTCATGACAACAAAGATCACAAGGTCCATTTCTAACAGTTGTTTCCACGCACTCTTTCGGCCGGCCCCGCAGATAGGTAGATGGAAATATTCTCAAACCCATATCAACCATAGACTGTAAAAGTATCAACATGTAAACGACCAACAGCGTTCCCCATGCGAGGCCAAACCTACATCCTCAGGTGCCGCTCGGTTGCAGGAATAAACAATGAAAACTCCTGTTGCTTTGTCAGGTTGGCCCAGTTCAATCACACATCAACAGGTATTCAAGCCCCGGCCGTCCACTTGGAGGACCGTAACCTCGATATATGGGGCGCACTACCCACTACGCCACAGACGCTACAATCTCGCTTGTAAATGAGAATAAATAACGGTGCATGTTAGTGTCAGACAAAATGTTGTGTTTGTGTCTTTGTGTATTTATTCCAGTTCCCCCCCCCACGTTGTACTTTGACCTTTAGAAACTCAAACTGAATGGAGATAAAATGAGTCGAGTCACAATAAGAGAGAAAAAACAACCATATTTCTTCAAAAACCTCATTTATTATGAGCTGGCATCTTTAGAAAGAACATGCATGATGTTAATTACAAACCAACGAGACGTTTTGGCAGGGTGTGAACACACACACAACACACACACACACACACACAAAGGAGGACAAATAAATACACCTCAGTCAAATGAATACAAAATCTAAAAGCAGTGTTTGTGTGAGTTTGAAAATAGTGTAGGTCGAATCTGAAACCCGGATTAGATGTGATGTCAGTCCATGTTTCCTGGGCTGAATAACTGTTACATGTCGTGAGTGAAGTTTCATGTTGCCTGAGGTATTTTTAAAAAGAAATCACAAGACAAAGAAAGAGACGAGGATGAACGCACGACTGTGACACAAAACGAGTAAGGCAGCGAGGGTCTGAAGGATCCCTCTGACAGAGTCCGTCCCCTGTCGAGCACAGATCACCAACAAATACTGACGACACACACACTGCAGGGGCCGAGTGCAATCAGGGAACACAAGCTCACCGAGCCATCAGGTGTTCTAGTGAAACATTAGCAGGAAAGATGGCCGCTGTTCTCCTTCCTTCTTGAAAAAGGCACACTACACGATGAGTCAGGGAACGACCCGGTTTCAGTCTGTAGATCTCCTGGAGTCACAGCAGGCTCCTCCAAGCTCCAGCCTTGATTCCTGTGTTGGTGTGGATGTCTCTGTGTGCATGTGTTAGAATGTGTGTGTATCCGTGTTTTTTTTTTTTTATATATCTGTTGAAGCTGAGAGGAGAGATCACAGTTTGGGCTGGTTGGCTAGCTTCATCTTCAGGTTCTCTGCCAGTTTGTCGATGAACTCAAAGGTGTTCAAGTAGTCGGCACGAGTCACGCTGCGAACACAGGAAAGAGGAGAAACTGTTGAGCCATCAATCCAAACGCAATCCTCAAATCCTGAAGAAGAGATTTGGACTGCAAAAATCCAAACCTGAGCTCATAGTGAACAATGTTGCCTCATCTACAGCTCAACAAAAAGCGCTGAAGAGTTGGAAGACTTACTGTGGCAGGCCTTTGATGCAGATAGCCAGATCCTTGGTCATGAAACCGGCCTCGATGGTCTCGATACAAACGGCCTCCAGAGCCTCGGCGAACACTCGCAGCTCTGTATTGCTGTCCAGCTTCGCCCGGTGGAGCAGACCCCGCGTCCATGCAAAGATGGAGGCTGCAGGAATAAAACAATCGCCCGATTAAGCTTGTGAATCCATGCACAGTATCTCTATCCTATACAACAAGGGTTTTGCTTGAGGTTGTACCGATGGGATTGGTGGAGGTCTCTTTCCCCTGCTGATGCTGCCTGTAATGGCGTGTCACGGTGCCGTGTGCGGCCTCCGACTCCACTGTGCGTCCATCAGGACAAATCAGCACGCTGGTCATCATACCCAGAGAGCCGTAACCTGAAACCGTCAAACAGCACAAGTAAGAAAAAGAACAGGATGTGGATTATGAGGAAGATTAGGGTACAGTTGTAGACATGATGACCTCACCTTGTGCGACAGAGTCAGACTGGACGTCTCCATCGTAGTTCTTGCACGCCCAGATGAAGCCTCCCTCAGATTTCATGGCCTGAGCCACCATGTCATCAATCAGACGGTGCTCGTACCAGATGCCTTTAGCTTCAAACTGAGCGCGGTATTCCCTGCGCGCACACACACACACACACACGAGACGGTGGAGAAAACCTCTTAAAGATGTAATTCACCTCTGGTATAAAAGAGAGAGAGAGAGAGAGAGAGAGAGAGAGAGAGAGAGAGATGTTGCGCATGTGAGAGTGACTTTGTGTGTGCCTTACTTCTCGTAGATCTCCTGGAAGATGTCTTTGAAGCGCCCGTCGTACTTCTTCAGGATGGTGTTCTTGGTGCTGAGGTACAGAGCCCAGCTCTTGGACAGAGCCATTTGGAAGGAGCTGTGTGCAAAGTCCTTTATGGAGCTGTCTGTGTTGTACATCCCCATGGCAACGCCGCCTGTGCCTGCAGGAGGGAAGAACAAACATCCGGCGGTGAATCGGATGTAAACAAACATCAGGAGCACTCACACTAAAACCTGGCTGATGGATCGGATGATGAAATTGGATCGATGTGGGCCAATGGCTGATAAGTCCATAAGAACTTTATGTTTTTGATAAGCTGGCTGTTAAAACTATTGTAGATATTCTTATTATATAATGTTATTTTGAGTCTGTCATTTAGAGACAGAAAGTTTAAGTTAAGTGCAGGAGTTTGCCTGCAACTTATGATCATTGAAAACAAGAAAGGTCCCAGTATCTGGTGTCAAGGACTTCTATCTTTGTTGCCATGGTTTCAGAACAGGTGTCGATGGCGCTTGATTTTTACAAGACTCATACCGAAGTTTCAGGTCTCATGCTGACCCAAGTACATCTCTAGATCTTTATAGGGAGTGTGTTGTGTTCTTACCCTGAAACTCATGGATGACATATTTAACTGGCTCTCCGTTTGCGGGCGTGTAGGTCATCTCCACTTTCCCAGGACCGGGCACCACAAAGTCTGTGGCTTTGTACTGTGTGGAAAAGACAACACGTTAAAATACCAGAAAGTGGGGCACCAGTGGTTAGTGCGGGCGCCTCATGTACAGAGGGTGTCGTACTCCAAGTGGGTGGCCCAGGTTAGAATCTGACCTGTGGCTCCTTTCCCGCATGTCATTCTCTCTCTCCTCAATCTCTGACTCTATCAACTCTCATATCTCTCAATAAAAGCATTAAAAACCCAAATTTAAAAAATGACAAGCAAGTATCACAGCTGTCTGAGCCCGCTAACGACCACAGAGAGAGTCATAAACCCCCGTACATAACTCCTGTCATCGCCACTGGTTTATGACGACGTAGTATCACAGCACAGTATAGAACATACACCTCTCTGGCATGCGGGGAGGTTATGTAACTCGCAGCTCTTTGACACTTGACCTGGTTAACGCTCTCCGAGGAGGCTCTGTTGACTCTGGCAGAGCGCTACAGACTAACAGTGATTTACTCCTGAGCGTTGCTGTGACATGTTGAACCCGTACAGGCTGTACGAGACGGTTCCAAAGGACGGCTGATGAAATGGGATTATTGAGTCTTTACTGATAACCTTACAACCTGAACGCACCCAGCTCCTTCATGAGTGAACATCCAACCCAGAGTTCGTTCGTCACAGATGTGAGCTTGGAATGAAGCTCAGAGACGGTGATGACAGTCACAGTGAATACACCATCTCGTAGTGGTGTCAGAATTCTTTCAATGTTTTATTTGTGGGTGTGTTTGCTCTTTTTTTTTTTTTTGGAGAGGACAGCTGAGAGTCAGGGATGACATGCAGCAAAGGGCCCAGGCTGGATTCAAACCCACGCTCGCTGCGACGAGGACTACAGCCTCTGCTCATGGTTTAACGGCTGGAGTAGTGTGTCAAAATGTTTTGCTTAAAACGCCGAATGAGTGCACTACATAGCCCCCTACAGGAACGCTGTATGTATGGAGTAGAGAACGACTGAATGACTTCAGACACAACCAAAGACTCCAAACAGAGCTCAACAGTGAGCGCTCACTCTTTCTGCGGCTCTGAGTAAATTTCTCCGTTCAAATCCTCCTATGACATTTCAGAAAATCCTTATATCAAGAAAGTTAAGCCTGTTACCATGACAACCAGCTACGCCAATACTTGTAAGTATGAAAACATTTGATTCGGTGCAAAAACGGCGCTAAAAAGGGAGAAAAGACAAAGGCACCAGACTGTAAACACTTTTTTTCAAGGAACTACAAATCCCACAATCCATTGCGAATGATATTGTTTCTTCTTAAATGTATCTTAAGTCGTTGTTGTCGTGTTTATACTGTTATTACTGTCTTGTAGTTTATGTTGTATGAATATATAAATCACATTCACCGCAGCACAACAAGGTCACGAGTCACGACAAGCAAACTCAAAACGTAAAATGTTAATCTTACAATTTTATGACCTCAGCAGTGAACTTCTGAGCAAGCAACAAGAGCGAGAAGATATAAGCTGCAGGCTTTTAAAGCTGTGTTGTACTTTAACCTGGATCCTGTGGATGTTTCCGCCATAAAAAAAACACTCAGCGCCCGACGTGATACAGAGAGGCTTCCAGCTGAGCGACGTCTTTCCACCGTTCAAAAGTTTTTTTTTAACGAGACCTGAATCATCTTTTCAAAGAGGACGGCATCTGCTGATAAGGGACCTGATGATTACAAACCACTAACCCATGTGACGTCCTGTGGATCAATAGCGTACCTGGTCTCCGTGGGCGTGCCTGCCGATGATGATGGGTTTGATCCAGCCGGGCACCAGGCGGGGGATGTTCTTGCAGAGGATGGCCTCTCTGAACACGGTTCCTCCCAGGATGTTACGGATGGTTCCGTTGGGGGAACGCCACATCTGCTTGAGCTTGAACTCCTCCACGCGCTTCTCGTCCGGCGTGATGGTGGCGCACTTCACGCCCACGTTGTAACGACGGACCGCCTCCGCCGCCTCGACCGTCACCCGGTCGTCTGTGGCGTCGCGGTTCTCCATACCGAGGTCGTAGCTGTGCAGGAGGAGAGACGGAGAAGAGGGATGAGTGATACAGAGAAGGCAGTGTTTCCCCTACCATTACATTGAGGGGGCGGCCCCCTGAACACCAAGATTCCTTTAAGTGTTTGTATCGGCATGTCGACTTGTCCCCACCCCCCCCCCCAACGCTGTAAACCTAGGGGAAGGCTAACATCATCATCCATGAAATGTGTTCAAAATCCATGAGAAAAGATCCAAAGAGCTTCAAGGATTAGCTGTTTCTTTTGAACTTTGAAATAAATTGTTAACTTTTTATTAAGCATTCATTGTGTTGAGTTACTTTTTAACGTTCAAAGGATAAAAGCATCTTCAGGGTGAATAGCGTCTGCTTTCTTTCTCCTCTGAGACAGTTAACTGAATGTCTGTTTCTGTGGATTCGACAAGAATTTAAAAAAGTAAAATCTTTATTAAGCTCTTGAAGATCCACAAAGAAAGATACAACTGTTTGGCGTTAGATTTTTTTATTTGTATCAAACCTGAGACAGAACTTAGGGGACGACTTCCTGCAGCCGGTAGAGCTGCTAAACACTAGACAACAATGACACCGATAATAACACAGCTGAACGTTAAGGCTCAGTCTGTTCTGAATAATATCTGCAGGGATGTTGACTCTGCCGTCAGATTGTTGCTTTCCCATTAGCCATGAGACGGATCATAATGCCGACTTGCTGGACAATAGTGTAACTAGTCTGAACCGGCTAACAGCAACACGGTCAACAGATGAATGGGCGCTCTGCGGACATGAGAGAGACGTCATTCTCCCTGATGAAAGATATTATGACATTAGATCCATGTAAGTATGAGGGGAAAGCAGGAATGTGAGGAAATGAAATGGACCAAACAGACACGATAGGGACCGTTTAAAAATCCTGACAGCAGAGGAACGAGACACCAGAAGGGCAGTGATTATTCACGCGTCGGTGTTCATCACTGCACAGAGGCCTCAGAGCTCAGCGTAACAATGCTCTAAAAGTGAACATATGTCTGTGTTTCAGCCAGGCTGTGAATGATAGAGCACAGAGAGGCTGTGGTTTGTAACATCGTCTGTGTGTCAGAGGACAGGACTGACATGAACGAGCAGAAAAGGCTAAAGAAACAACTCGCTTCCATATCCAGGCTAATTATATGTCTAGAGAGACCTGGCACAGTATTGGAATCAGACGAGGCATCAACCTCCTGCTCCATTTTTCTTCTCACTCTCACTCGGTTCTTGAGGGAAACGAGATCTGCAAAAACAGCCAGCGACACAAAGACTCAAAGAGAAAGGAAACAAGGACCCAACTGTGCAATTACAGCTGGCCCTCTGCCATGACAACAAGAGAGGCCGCTGCACAAATGTAGAGAATGAGCTGTATGACAACTGAAAACCTACACTGAGTTCAATGTGCTTATATTTCCCCTCAAGAATTTAGTCTCTTAAGTTTGTCCCGTGCACCGTTTGGCACCGTCTGAAAAGAAGCAGTTGTGACCTTTTACCCACATTCTCCCCTCCCCTTTCCTCTGAACGCCAATCCAAAGCCACAACAAGACATCGTTCATCAACTGAAACACACCAGAGAGAGAGAGAGAGAGAGAGAGAGAGAGAGAGAGAGAGAGAGAGAGAGAGCTTCAGGCAATGAAGTTCAGGTTTAACAGGAAAGTAAGCGCATTCCTTCTGAACTCTCAGACGTCGAACTTGGACAAGATTTATTCTGTGTGCATTTTCTCAATGGTTAAAGGGAGTTTCATCCATTTGACCATTTATGACTTATGCATACAGTGATCTGATTTTTCTAAGTCCTATTCATTGAGAAAATGTAAAATATTTGAACGCAAGGTTGAATGACATTTGCACCAAATGCTGAACAAACTTTTACGACGTGAAACAAGAAGAGATGAAAATGCTCTTGAACATCGATCATATCTGTCTTCTGATGAAGATGAATGATGTTTCAATCGAACGTCCATGCTTCACAAGAGGCCGAACAGATGATCCACCGCAAAGGAAGGAAACATTAAGTAATAGAAATGGACACACAGGCCGTGTAAATAACACACCGCTGTGAACAAAGTCCATGTAAAAGATAAGAGAAGGAGAAAGGTTGAATGAACAATCAGCTGCTTGCTTTGCTCGTGTGCAGATTGTCAAATGCAACATTTATCAGCAAAGTATCCGATCGGTGATATCCTGTCAGAAAATAGAAACAATCTCTGGTTTGGAGGTTTCTGAGAGAAACTTTAACGAAGGAGTCAACAGCTTGTTCCTTCAAAATAAAATGCAGACTTCTCCTAAAGTAAAGCTCCATCGTCCCTTCTGGGCCTCCATACATGTGTGGTGGTGACTGTGTCTGCAGAGACCCTGTCCTCTGACTGGATTTTACTGTTCTGGTTTTTGTTGGTTGAGTTGGGACGTTTCTGGGCAGAGCTGGTGTGTTTCCTCCAGCCAATGACAGCGCTCAGGTGAGCCTATAGTCCTCCAAGCAGGGGGCCTCGGTTCGAATCCGACCTGTGGATCCTTTCCTGCATGTCATTCCCCTCTCTCTCCCTAATTTCTGACTCTATCTTCTGTCCTATCTCTGAATAAAGGCAGAAAAAGCCCAAAAATAAACCTTAAGCAAGAAGAAGTTAATATTATAAATTGCATAAAAGGTCATGCATGACTAATGATTATATTTCAACGCTGCTTTAGTTCAGTATCAGAGGACTACTCGTGTAAGTATATGCAAGACACCGAGTATCTGCAGCTCTGCAGGTGGGATTACCGCTGTGAGGAGACCCTCTGCAGGCTCCGGCTAGACCCCGCCCACCCTCACAACAAACACCATTGGTTTCCTTTTTGTGTCTCTCTATTGGAGGAAATCAGGATTAACAGGCAGAACCTGATATCCTGGAAACTTCAGGAACTCCCACCGGGTTCACGTTGAGCATTGAATTTGCTAAATACTAGTTTGGGAGGCCTCATAGTCTGGCTTTGACTTTGGTGTTGTGAATGCATTTAGTTTGACTGTGTTTTCACAGATTTGATTCGTTTGTATTGAGTTTTCTGCCTAGGTTGTCAATTTGTTAGGTTTGCATATAGGGATAGAGCATTTGTGCTGTCTGTTAAAGGGCTGGAGATAGTTTGAGTTCATTTGAGCCATTTTGACAGTGTTAATTGTTTGTTGTGCGAACGCTCAAATTATTCAGTATCTGTGACTTTGACCTCGCAGTGTAAATGAAGATCTCAAAACAGCAAACAAACCGTGCTGAGGTTTTAGTACGGGTGTTAAATGTCCTTGTGCAACGTTAGAATCAAATACTGGATTTAAGTAACAAACTAAAGTCAAATCAAACACAGCGACCGGCTGCTCTGAATGTCAGGAGACAAACCTGAATGGATCCTCGAAATCACATAATACAAATAAATAAAAAAGTAAAAGAGAAACCATCTGAAATCTCAAACTGTCAAACCTTTCAGAGAGACTTCTAAAGGAAAGACTACACACAGAGCTATTCCACAGTTCTCCTCGGCTCACCTGTGCAGGTCGAGCTCCAGGTACGGGAAGACGAGTTTGTCCTTGATGAGCTCCCAGATGACCCGGGTCATTTCGTCTCCCTGCATCTCCACCACGGAGCCGGCCTTGATCTTCTGAGACATGTTGAAGCCTGCTGGTGAAAAGAGACTGTGAGGGAGAGGTATATTACAATATTTAGGTTTGTCGTCATGCCGGACTTTTAAACGTGGATATGATATCAAAAAAAAAAAATGATATGGAGACCTGTTTCGCTACCATGGCAACAAAAGTGGAAGTCGTAGGCATCAGGGTCATTTCTTCTTAAATACCAAAACGTGTGAGCCAACTCCTGCACGCTGTCAACGTTTCACGATTAGTGTTTTTGCGACAATTTTGAGTTGAAAGTATGTTTAAAGATCAGTTTCAATAATGGCCACTGAGGGCTCACAAACTTAAACCAAAGCAGTGGCCCAAAATGTGCAGAATTTTTCAACGGCAATAGGAAACCTCCCTAAGGGGGCCCCATTTGACAGGACTCACTCTCGTGTCCCAACAAGAAAAAAAGTAAGAGGACTGATCTGTCTACAGGAGAGAGAAAAATAAATGGGGGGGGGAGAGGAGTAAGTGTTGGGACTAGAGGTGGGGAAAAAAAATCGATTTATGTAAAAATAGAGATTCTTTTCCCAAAACATTTTGGCTAATCAGTCAGTCCCTGCTAAGTGCTGAGGCTAGCTCTTTAACTCAGTAGAATCCAAACAGAGCATCAATAAATTCATCCAGCCTCACAGATGACTGAAGTAGATCCTGAAGTAATTACTAATTCATAAATAGACTTTGAATCATGAATACAGAATCCTTCTGAAATTGGATTGAATCAACAGACACCCAAAGATTCCCAGCCCTAGTTGGGACACTGGCAGACTTAATGTTTATGAACGCTGGTTGGAGGGACCCCGATTGATGTTTGGTTTGCTCAGGGGCCCGACTCTAGACTCACCACTGCATGTGTTCCAACCTGCTGAACTGGGGGGGAGAGAGGGAAACACCCTCGATGATATTTAATTTGCAAAATAATCAACACTTAACACGGCCTTTGTTCGTCAGAATTGTCAGGGACCTGGCCCTTAAACTGGGACAGGCTTTTATTTAAAGTTTGACATTCAATCACCAATTCCTCTGAAGGACGCTGACAGCTGGCTTCTGTTTCACCTGACTGCATGAAAATGTTGTGAGAGTGAGTAAAAGTGCTATTAGCATTAAAAAAAAAAAAAAAAAATCTGATTTATTGTGATGAATTCAGACTTTTACAGTGTTTATTGTGTTCATCGCTCATATTGCAAAACTGGGATTTCTTGTGCAGCCCCAGTTAACAATGAATTCATTCACAAAATCAACCAGAGGCAGTCCGACCGGTGACTCAGCATTCATGTTCAACTCTGTAAACTCTGTAATCATCTTAAACCACAAACCCTGCAGCATATGATTAACCAATGCAATCTCTAAATCCACCATGAGTCCACTTTGTAACTATAATAATTAAAGATCAAACCATGAGTCAGTCAGTATACACTTTAATGTTTGCATAAGGTGGGGGTCTGAGTGGTTTTTCACCACAGTTATGATGTTTTAAAGACAGAAATAAATCAGAACTCTTCAGCATGACGTTTGCAGAAGTTACATAAGCAGACAAAAGGATGATGATCGCATGATGGGGAGGAGACTGTTACGAGCCGAAGACAGACCCGGTTAAAGGCCAAACGAGGAAGAAAACCCGTTAATGTTTACATTTGACATTTTTTTTACATTTGACAGTATAGTAGAGGAAAACAGGGAGGGGTTTAGTGGGACTGCAGGCCTTTAGGACAATTTCAGAGACTGGTTGTCATGCATGTACCCCAAAAGTGATCCGTAATGACGCACAGATAGAGGATACTCTGTTCCGGCTTTTTTTTATTTTACATGCACCGGTTTCAGCCAAGTTGTGGTCAAACAATGGAGACAACACAATGAAGCGAAATTAGACAGCTCACTTCCTGGTAACGTTGCGTCGCTCGGTGCTGACCCCTCTGGAGTAAGCAGCCTACACATTCACAACATGTAACAGACGCCTACCTTGTAAAGTTTAAAGGTCCGAGAAACAGACGAGGGGAGAGGAGGAGGCGGAATGATGTCCTGTTCCGTGTTTCAGGAGCTCAAAGCTGACGGAGGATCGGCAGGTACCCAGCTGACACCTCTCGACGATACCCGGGGGAAGGGTATTGGCCAATCAGAACGAGTGTAAGAACGGCGCGGCCAATCAGAGTAGCCCACAGAGCCTACAGGAGGGGAGGGGTTTGCAAACGCTGCCCGCCGATTGGTCCAGAATGTACGGCCCTATTTCCTCGGTGTAGAATGAAGATCTCATAACAATTCATTGATTGTTATGAAGCCCCCTCGGCCCCTCCCCACACTCCGATGAAACATTTTGTACAAGATGTGTTTATTTCTGAATTATTTTGAACATTGTAGTCAAATATGTCTCTTTGGATACTAAACACAAAACGTATTTACCAAAGTCCTTAACTACGGAAGCTCAAAAGCAGATGTGTCCATACATTTTATTTAACAGATTTTTCCAGTGAATTAATCAAAAAAAAAAAAAAGAAGTTCTTGAGATCTGACTTATTCATGTTGTTATCCTGACAATGACTTCATTTGTGGTATTTTCTTGAGCTCTTGAGAAATCCACTTGTTATCACAGGAAAACCAGCGTTGATATCTGCAGATAACGACATAAATAAGTCTTGAGAAAACAACCAGAAGTCGCTCCTTATCGTGGGAAAACAGAGTCATCATAATAATACATACATGCAGGTAATGAGGGAGTTTGTAGTTTGGTAATAAGGAGTTTGAAGTGGATACGCCGGGGGGAGAGGAGGTTATGCAGGACGGGGGTGATGTGGTCACGGGTGCAGGAGTGTTTGAGAAGACGAGCAGCAGAATTCTGTATATATTGAAGTTTCTTGAGCGTTCTGGATAATGAACCGTAGATGAGACTATTGCACTTTTTCAGAGTTAAATAAAAAGTACAGATATTTGTCCCTTTAGGGCTTCCGTACTTTACCATCTATAAGACATCTGATGAGTTTTATAATGTGATGTTCAGCCCGGGAGTCTGACAAACATGTCCTGTGTGCACTGCGGTGCTAATTGCATCAGTTCTCCTGGGATCAGCTGCTCATTTGCTGTAGTCATGGCGACCAAATTTAGTCATGTTCTTTAACAGAAGTGGCCTTTCAACGCAGTGTATAATATCTCTCTTTTTTTAAAATCAGAGACACGGCAGAGACTAATGGACCATTTGCTTTGTGACACTTTAAGAGCGCAGTTCTTTTTAACGGCCGGAGCTTCTGAATGTGTAACGAGCTAATTAGTCGTGATTAAAAATGACAACATTTATAAATCAGCTGCGGGCCATCAACGGAAAAATATGAAGGTTTGTGGCAACTTCACATATTGTGAAAGATTGCAACCTGCTGGCTGTGAGCTTATAGTGTCTATTGTGTACGATAGGCAGGAAGGTAAACATGCAGGTAAGCCCCCCAGGACTGAGATCCCCTCCCCCCCCCCCCTTCCATCAGTAGAAGCTCAGCACCTGTCATTATTTTAACCCTATAGTGGTATTATTTACCTGTATTATTTTTTTTTATAAGCATTTGTAGATTCTGTGTATTTTTGTGTTTTAGTCATTTGTATATTTTTCTACATTTATTTACTTTGTCAGGCCTCTGAAGGTTTCCTCCAGCATTGCTTCATTGTACTTGTACACTGACAACAAAGATATCTTATCTTATCTTACCAGAACATTGTTTCCCAACCTGAGGTTCAAAGATCTCAGCGGGGGGCAGGATGCTCTGTCTGTTCTCAGGTTGACAAAATTAGATTTACACATATTAACTTAATTGATTAACATATCATTGATTCAAAGGTTACTTACCTTCAAGAAGCTTAGTCAGCCTCTCCTATAATTCTGATTTGAATGAAATCAGTTGAAATGTGTGTTAATCTTTGACAGCAATGCATCACTTTGTTCATGTGGGTCGTGGGGGGCTGTGCTGGATTTTCTTTTAAACCAAGTAGGCGGGGCTCCCAGGATAAAGGTTAGGAACCACTGCACTAGAGTGAAATTGTTAAAACTCACATGACAGCAACCATTACAGCGTTCTTCTACGACCTTCTGTTGGAGCATTTCATTGTTGATTGTTGCAGGATGTAAAGGTTCAAGGTTCAAGGTTTCTTTAATGTTACCTATGAAGGGAACATGAGATTCAGTGTTCCAAAGATAAATACAACACATTACAATATGAATTAATGGATACAAAGAGCAGACAGAATACATTAGTACAAACATTGTCAGTTACATCAGGTCATTGTAAAGTCCTCACACAGACGCCCACTCAAAAGTTTAAAATATCCTGAAGGGCATCATCTTGTGCTAGCTTTGTTAAGTAGTTCTTTAGCTGCAGGTACAAAAGTGTTTCTGTAGCGTTTTGTTCTCCCCGTAGGAGCAACACACGGACAGCCGGAGAGGAGAAGCTGAAACTCCCCGTTTAAAGGAAGAGTGTGCAACATTTAACACAAACTGTAAATATATCATAAATCCAGTCTATCCTGTGTAAATGTCTCTCTGAGTCATGACTGTCTACAATGAGTGAGAAGCTCGAGTCCCGCTGGCTGTGTTGTTGTCAGAGCCGTGTTTACATGGACGGGACGGCCGGCTCCTCCCCTTGTTTATAAAAGCTGTTTTAGTCAAGGACTAGAGAGAGAAGAAGAACATACTCACTGATTATTTGAATGTCATGTAAGAGTTTTTAGATCACGCTCATTCTGTGTCAATTTACATGCAATGTGAAGCTACGAGCTAACATTAGCATGCTAACACAACAATGCAGGACACAGGCAGCAGCTTGAGCAAAGGATAACCCTGGAGTGCGCTGGATTACTCCAGGATGCACCCTGGATGAGTTTCCGGGCAGTTCACAGGGCGCCCATCGATCCTCAAACTCTCGCTTGATTTTTACTAGAATCATGTCAAATCTAAAGTTCTGGTATCATGACAGTCAAACCCAAATACACACCAACGTGTTTAAAGCACCACTTATTCTGGTTACATAAGTGCTTTCCTAAAGTTTTGTTGCTGCTGAACGCACCCCAGTGGTGGGAGGGGCTTTCCCCCCGGAGGAGGAGCAGGAAATGGGAGGAGCCTGGCCTAATTTGATCCTCTAAATGTTTGTAGGGGCCTCCTCACCTGTAAAACCCTCTCAAGCCCTCAGAGTGAATTATTTTATAAAAGTAGTATCAACTGGTGTCAAGCCTCTGCTAACATGAAGCCTGTCTGTGCCTTCAACAAACCTAAAGTAGACCTGTGTGCCCTCGTCACCAGCAGATTATTCCTGTGTTTTCTAAAGACATCATGTAGCTGGGAGGATTGAGAGTGGTTCAAGCATCCGTCCATAAAGAAGAAACAGTCGCAGCGCTCAGCCTGCTCAGGAAAAGAGGAGTGGAATGAAGATATGTGGACTTGAAAGGCAAAAAGTCAAGCAGGAAGTTAAATGACGTGTCTGTTGCACACTTGAAGAGCTGTGGATTTCAAAAAGGTCAGTTACACGCTGCTCGCTTTCTGCTCGCCCTCAGTTGTTCATGTTCTTTTTCACTAATGGTGAAATTAAACCATGAGCTGAAACAAACAAACTATTGTCCTGACATTACAGTAACAGGACCTGTGATTGTTGTAATCTTTTGCGGTGATCTGATGCTCCATAGATAATCCCCCTGCCTTTTCATTTCAATGTGAATTTGGTTTAATAATGAAGAACATGGAAAACATTTAGCCCACAAGTTTGATGATGATGTGTGAGCACTGAGCAACACGTGCACAGGACTAAAGAGAGGGTGCTGGGCTCGTCAAAGGGTTCGATAACAGTGAACTTAAAAACAGTCTGGATGTCACAAAGTTGTTTGTAGCATCAGTAGTACTCTACACTCTACAAGGAGAAAAAGAGGCTAATGTATACCAGCAAGCAGGTCTGCCCAAAGAAATGTCTGGGCCCTGAGCCTTCTTTATTTTCTGCCATCCTTGTGTTTGTGCAGGTCCTGGTTTGGGTAGAAAAAGTCTGTTACATTACTGGTCTAACCTTTAAGTTCAGTTGGCACGCCCATGATGTAAGCATCACAAATAAAAAGGTTAAAACATCTTAAGAAAGGGAAGGTTGGTTAAAATTGTGTTTTAATTTCTTAAATTTAAGAATGGATTATGTTTTTGTGACTAAACTTCAAAAGAGCTTCTGTGCTAGTGTTAGTGTTTCATTTTGCTTCACTCCACACTCTGAAATGTTAGCTTCTAAAGTATATTCTACATGACGACTACGATGAACCTAAACTTTAAGGGTTTCACCTCATAAAACCAAAGAGTTTATTTAAGCCAGCAGCTTGCAGTGTGTAAACAAAGGAGTTTGAACTTCCCTTAGTAACCAGCAGATGGCAACCTCTCTCTGTGCAGCGAGGTCTCGGGGTGCCATGTGGTCCTGAGGAGAGCCGAGGAGAAAGCAGAGCAGTCAATCATCACGGGTTCTTTCATCCTTTGGAAATGCTCTTTTATTCAAATATTTTTTTACGCGCTTAATGGAGAATTATTTAGAACTTTTGGCACTGCGTTAAGGGTTCTGTTACGCGCACAAAGGTGGGATTTCTGGTGTAATCTCGCGCGTTTGGTTCTGATAATTAGCCCTGGGCTAACTATAAGAACACAAAGCGCTGGTCTTTCCTCGTGCAAACATTAAGTAGCGACTCTAAACCTTTATAATGATTTGAAAGTACTTTTATTCCACACAGAGCGCTTCACATCAGAGGAGAGGCGGCCAGCTCCCCCAAACAACCCCCTCCCTTCTTCTTTGTCTCCCACCTCCACTTTGAGAGGAGACCACGGCTCGGCCAGACCTGAGAGGCGTCATGTGACTCTGCATCTGCTCTCAGTTGTGGAAAGATTACCACGCAGCCAGGGAGAGTGAGCGAGAGAGAGAGAGAGAGAGAGAGAGGGAGAAAGAGAGAGAGAGAGCTGAGGAGGAGCTTGCAGCGATAAGATTCTCTCCACGCACCATCAGCACCACAAACTTGCTCTCCATTCATCCTGCTGCCTCTGCAGCGCACCTGCTTCTGCACACACTGGGATTTTCACGTGTTTTTCTCCCGTTGGAAGGTGCTCATGTGCACCCCACGGCTAATTTTCGCTCTCCGCTGAGTTGATTATGGTCACAACCCCCGCGGTGCCAAGGTGGAGCCACCGCGCGTATCTCGGATCGGTGCGCTTCTCCAGGGGCTGGGATGCGCACCGGGTACCTCTCGCTTCCTGCCAAGTTTCGGGTCCGAGGAGGAGTCTAGCTCTGCCCCTGGGCGCCGAGCCAGGAGGACCCAGTCCACCCGGAGCAGGATGCCGGTGATGAGAGGGCTGCTGGCCCCGCAAAACACCTTCCTGGACACCATCGCCACGCGCTTCGATGGCACCCGTGAGTAACAAACCTGCGCTGTCTGAACTCTTCTGCTCTTTACGCGCGGTTTAGTGCCTCATGTAAACTGTTCTTTCTCAAAGCACATCCTTCACCATGGGAAAAAAACTCTCCCTATACCACATCACATGCATAATAAGCCTGTATGTCCCTTTGTTTTGTTTCCCTGAGCTATAACTTTAGAGTTGACAGGATTATTCTCATCAACATGAGGCTGTACAGAGTGGAATCCATTGTGAAAAGGCCCCATTTTTGCAGAAGATATCATACGCACATGCACCTGTCTGCACAAGAGGAGGATAAGCCATAAATCCAGACAAAGCAAATTGGGAATAAAAGATTTCCACAGATGAATACAACTGGAGGTGTTGGAGAGGTTTTGGTAGCTGTGCGTTTGCTAACTTTTGTTGTGTTTTTTTTTTTTTTTTTTTTGACTGAGACTCCTTTTCAGTCCCATTGTGTCTGTGAGCTGCACATGTCCAGGCTCCACTCTGCATTGTCAGGGTCTCACCAGCAGGGTTACATTCACAGTTTGAGGCCCACTCACAGCTTTTCATTCCTCACTTTCCCCCAAATGAGCCGACACAAACCGCTTTATTCTGATCTCTATCATTTCAGTTGAAGCTGAAATGTTGCTGTGGAGATGGAGGTAGGATGTACAGACTCTTTTTTTTTTTTTTTTCCCAGGCGAGGGTGTCTTGTGAACAGATGCGATGAGCAGCCCGCTTGTGTTTGGTCCCATGCTGAGAAAGTGGGCGGGTGAGAGCTGCTTATATATTGCGTTCAGGCCGTCTGTGTTGATTATTCAAGACGATGGGAGTGTGTGTGTGTGAGTCTGAGAGTGTGTGAAGTGAGCCAGTGTCCCCCCGTAAACCAGTTATGTGTGACAGCATGATAGAAAGATAATTCGACCATGCAGCACGCAAGTCGCTTAAAGGCAGATCCTGATCTCTCTCCAGGTTTCACCTAGTCCTCTCCTCGCTCTCTAACTACGCTGACAAATACTGTGGCGACAGAGCGGCCTGCTTCTGTCTGCAGGACATTTAAATGTTCTTACTTTGAAAGGCAAAGTGAGTGGCCTGTGTTTCCTTAGTGAGGATTCAGGATGTCTGCTGTGAGGACGACTCAGAGGAATTAAGAGCTTCTCACTCTGCAGGGTTGTCCTTTATCTTCACACTCATCTCTCTGTTGTGATGTTACAAAGACTTTACATAAATGCCAAACTGTGGAGCCGGAATTACAAGCTTGAACAAAATGAGCCACTTCTGCCAAATGCACTGACATTAAAGCTTTTATTTTTTTTTACAGAACATATGATGCAGTAAACGATGCCTGGGGTGATTCTCACATAGTGTCATCATGTAGTCTGTCCAGCAGAGGGAGCTCTGGTTCATTGTTTACAATCCTCACAGCACTGTCTGCAGCGCATGTAGCAATACATCACCGCTTCAATTTGTTTACAATATCTAATAATGCTCAAAGTAAGTTATGTGTGAAATATCACACATACTTCATATCATTGAAAATCTTGAAGGTCTACTTTCATGCTAGGTCAACAGCTAAAGGTTGCCGACAACCGTTGAATTTCTCGGAGTCCGATAACCTCCTGGCTCCTCCTTCAAATATGGTAATTTCTACTTGAAATAAAAAGATGGTAACGGGAAAACACTTCAAAATCCCTTTATTATCAAACATATTATAGGGTGTTTTCTAAACCGCATGCTATGCTAGTAGTCTGATATGTCCAAAATTCATTAAGCAGTATGCAAACAAATGTGAGATTCATAGTATGACAAAAACTAACTTGTTATACTGATTCAGGAAAAATTAACAGTCTGCATCAAACCAGTCTTCCTCGTGTACTGTTTCCCACAATGCAAAGCGCCAGGTCAGAGATCAGCAACATTTATTGTAACAGAGGAAATAATCTCAATCAGACCAAACCACACAAAGTTACCACCAGTTATCTTTGTTGATTCTCTAAATCTTGAACATCTAAATCTCTCGTCAGCTTTTTTCAGACTATAAGTGGACGCTTCACGGCGTTTGACGTCAGCTGGGCTGTTGTTTACTTCCTCATTCCAAGACCAGAAAGCTGTTAACCCGGGGCTGGTATACTGCAGAATAACCACCGACTGGAGGTCAGGGTACATAGTCAAATGTAGTATGTTTGCACAACATAAAACAGACTATGTTAAAAATGTGGGTTTTTTTTTATCCAGCCTTGAGCAAGTGAGCTGCAGTCTTGAGATTTTGCGAGTAACTTTGTTGATTGTTTGGTTTGTGACGTAATAGGTCAACAGAAAGAACGACCAATGGCGACTAACTGAAAGGGGGCATATGGCCACCTCCCGTAGTGGAGTTGGACAAACCTCTGTCAATAAGTTGAGTCTCCCTTGATGCTTGTATTCTGAGAGAAGGTCAGTAGTATAACCGTAGCTTGACTTAACCGTGCATGTAAACTAACACACTCCTGCTGATTCCAACATGACTCCTAGCAGCAGGTGTGCTGCTCTTTTGCACCACATGGTCTTCATCAAGCACGCGTCCACCTCTTCTCCTCTATCTAGCTAACCTTGCAGTCATCTTTGAACTGAAACAAACTTACCAGACAGAAGCTAACTGCTAGCTGGGGCTTCATCTGATCGGCCAAATGTCCACACGCTGAGAGTGAACGAAGTTGTCTTCTTATTCTTTACGTTTCGGGCATTCTTTTGATGTGATTTTTTTTTTTTTGTGTGCATGTTCATATCACGAGGAGACAGAAAAGAGGATTTTACTGTACGTGCAGCTCTACATAATTCAGAGGAAACGCTGCGCACACATCACTCCCTGAAGACGGCACTCACACTCCCATATGCTGACACACAAATCAAACAAAAAGAAGCAACGTCTCACTCCCTTTCATGTTCCATGTGCAGATTATCCGACATCATGTTAAGAAACGGAGCGACTATTTCTCCTGCGAGACGTTAAAATACAGGCCTTCTGCTTCCCGAGGTGCTGATAATTACACATCTCCAGCAGTGCATGCGCAGTCATTGTAATTAACTCGCATTGATGTCAAGAAATCATCGTGGCCTTTCTGCTTGTCAGCGGAGGAGCTGAAGGGAGGGGGAGGTGGGAAATGAGAGGGTGTGGGGGTGGGGAGGCCAGTGTGTGTGTGTGTGTGTGTGTGTCAGGGTGGTGGGATTTGGAGTGTGTGTGTGTGTGTGTGTGTGTTGCTGCTTTTAGTGGGAGGAGAGGGCATTTTGAATGACTTAATATAAATCCATTAGCTGTGACAAACATTCAGATATGTGTTTTTAAATGGTGCTACTCATTAAATCGGACACTTCAGGGACAATGGAAAAGGGCAGATCTGTGTGTGAGCGTGCCTGTGATTATTGACGCTTTATGTCTCGCTGAATGCGTGTGTGTGTGTGTGTGTGTGTGTGTGTGTGTGTGTCAAAAAGGCTTTTTGTTGTGATGTGAATCAAATGGCAATCATGGTTACTTTAGAAAGCCACTCATCTCTGGCAGCAGAGCCGTACCTGAAAGCACTTCATCCTCTCTATCTCTCTCTCTCTCTCTCTCTCTCTCTCTCTCTCTCTCTCTCTCTCTCTCTCGCTCTCTCCTGCTGAAGTCTATCAGCCGCTTTGTGGAGCTGCTACTTTGTTTTGCGTCTCTCAGTCGACCGAATGTGGAGTCTGGCAGCGTTAGCAGGTCTGAAAGTTTCAGTTTTAGAGCAAGAAATGGCTGCTATTTTCTCTCCAACTCACACCACAGTCAAATGCGACTCTCACTCACTGACTCCAGTGTGTTCGTGCGTGCGTGCGTGCATGTGACTCATGTCCACTGGGCTCCCCCAACAATTTCTGCGCTGTTCTCTGCACCTGCTCTGCCTCTGTCATGACACCAAGCAGAGAAGAAGATGGAAAGTGTGATCTCCAGATCATTAATGGATAAAGGTGCATGAAACTAGTGGTGCAACAATTCTTAAAGGCAGGGTTGGTAATTTCCTCCAGATCCACTTTTTTTGTTTGAAATCGTCTTTAGGTCCTGACAGAAATTAATAACTCATGTTCTCTGAAAAAAGGAACAAAGAAAATCCATCATCTGTATCAGTTTTAAGTCTGTAAAAACTTTGACCAATGTCTGCCACGAGGTACCAATCTGATGAACCAATCAGACGCCTCCCTGTGTCCCTGCTCTCTCTCTACCTCTTGCGTGCTCTAGCTCACACTCAAAGCTCGTCACCGATGACTTTAGGAGTTTATACTGTGAGTTTACTTACCGCTGAATGAGACATGAGACGACGTAGTTTCTACACAATGCAAGAGATGAGCTGAGGTCCACTTCTGGAGAATTATGCTAATGGATGGACTAATAAGCAACCAGTATGCTACTAGTTAGCATGCTAATGAGCAGCTAGTTCATGGTGAACATTGTGAACTTAATCTAAAGTGTTACCTGGATGTTTGATACGGATGGATCATGTCAAAGCTGAAGGCTAATCCCTTCAGGTTAACGTCTGGACTGTAACAACAGGTCAATTAGCATGAAGCACCAATCTGAACCACTTGTTGATTCTTGCCTCTCAGATGTGAGATGTGTTTTTTTTGCTGTTTCTGTTTTTTTTTTCTATTTTTATGTGACTTTAAATTTGGTTTATTTTCATTTATACTCTGGAATATCAAAAAGTAAATTTTCCATAATTTTGTTCCAAATCACTGAATGATTCATCTCCAAGAAGGCAGAGGAGTGATTAAAGAAATCACATTGCCGCTGTAGTGAACACACTGAAGGCGTGTTAGTATTTGACTTTCTTTTTAAATTGCAGCGTGGATGAAAAGCAGTTTTCTAAGAGCTTGTCGCTTGAATGTTTTTGCCCGGAGCGCCCACCCCCCCCAGCTGTGCATGTGCGTCAGTAACTCACTAACATTACAGGTAGAACCCTGGAAGTTTAAGGTGACGATTTGTTCTGACTTGACCTGAATGTGAGAGAAGACATTTGTGTA